ATAAAAGATCGTTCTTCCCTCTGCCTTCAATACCTGCAATAATTCCTTAACCATAATCACGGCATTGGCATCCAGGCCAGACAGCGGTTCGTCCAGGATCACGATGGAAGGATTATGAATCAGCCCGGCAACCAATAGTACTTTCTGGCGCATACCTTTTGAAAAGCTATCCATCCGCTGATGCATATTGGCTGATAAACCAAAGGAATCCAGCATTTTCTGCGCACGCTCTTCAATAACAGCGGCGGGCAGGTGATGCAGCTTACCAATGAAGTTCAGGTACTCGGCAGGCGTGAGCAAATCATAGAGTTCGGCCAGCTCGGGTATATAACCGGTCATTGCCTTGACCGCTAATACCTGGTCGCGCAGCGGCTTTCCGTTGACCAGCACTTCTCCTTCGTAATCATGAATGATGCCGGTAAGGATCTTCACCGTGGTGCTTTTACCCGCTCCGTTGGGGCCGATATAACCAATGATCTGCCCGGGATAAATATCCAGGGAAATATCGCTGAGGACCTTTTTCTCGCCGTAGTTTTTACTGAGTTGCTTGATTGATATGATTGGTTCCATAAATGGACGGCACGTAAGAAAAACGAAAGTAACATTAAATCCAGTTTACGCCCTTACAAGTTTGAAAACGGCGCACTAAAAAAATCCATAAGCCATCCTGGAATGATCTATGGATCTCAATATTTTTTTGATAACCTGCCTTAGAGAGCCCTATTTTACCCCGAGTAATTCGATGGTAAATATCAGCGATGAACTGGAAGGAATTGTTGTGGTAGAAGCCGCCCCATAGCCCAGGAATGGCGGAAGGTATAAAACGATCCGGCCACCCGTTTTAATCAAGGGGATGCCTTCCTGCCAGCCGGTGATCAATTGTCCCAGCAAAAAAGAGGCATTATGATTGGAGTCGAAAATAGTACCGTTCAATAATCTGCCCGAATAGTTCGCGGTTATGATATTACAGGGATTGGGATGTACACCAACGCCTGTGTCCAGGATGGAATAATAGAAGCCACGCGGATCTTTCACAGCGGTGATACCAACCGAATCGATATATCTTTCCAACGCAACCACCTGGGAATCCGGAGCAACCAATGTGACTGGCGGGCAACTGTTCTCTGTATTTTTGGTACAACTGCTGATAGCAACAATCAATACAATCAGCGGCAATAAGAATCGGTACATACTGTTCAAATGAATTATAACAGCGCAAGCTACTTCAATAATCCTGCTCTTGCGGCACAAACCTTTACAATTTTTTGCTAAAACGAATCTATTGTGCCGTAGCAGTTGTGTCGGCTACTGTTTCACTTACGGCTCCGCCAGCGGATAATGCAGCTCTTTTTTCCTGGGCCTCCATGATCTTAGGCAGGAATGATTCGGTTTCCTGTTGCAGCATTTCAACTGTAATTTCATTGGCCTTTGCGTTGCTCATCAAGGCCTTCCAGGGGCGTTGTTGCCCCCAGGGATAATTGCCAAACACAATGGTGGGCGTGCCATTGGCAACCAGCTGACCACTTTTCAGCATCCATTGCTCTGCCCAGTCATAAAGGAAGCGGGCATCTTCCTCCAACAGCCGCAGGCAGGAATGCGAGGCCGGATAGCCGGGCATGGCATACAGGTGCCAGCCTACTCCACCCCGGTTGCTGATATTGAAGTTCCATTTCAGGATCCATTCTTCTTTTACCGAGCTGCGCACTTCCTTCCCCTTCCAGTTGGTAAAGAACAAACCGGTAGGTGTGGGTGTGGCTTTTTTCCCCATACTGCTAGGCCCCCACAATACCAGTTTCCCGGCTTCATAAGCGGCAAATGCCTGGATGGGATAAGAGAAATAAACCATCTTTTTGACATTCTTTAAAAACGGCACTTCCTGCGGGAAGGGCGAATAAAACATCCGGTCTGCTACCAGCGTATCGGGTATGATCAGCGTATCAATCCTACTGGCGTGGCCACCATCTACACGGTTCAGGGCATAAATGATGTTCCGCATTTCAGGTGTAAAATCATTCTTCAGCCTTACCTTACCACTGTC